TTCCTGCACCGTCGTCTAGTCCTGTGGTCCAGGACTGTCCCCCACAAGGGCGGCGGGGACCCCGTACCTGCTGCGGCGTGGAGCCCGCGGCCACACTGCCAAGCTGCTTCCTCAGCTCCTCCAGCTCCTGCGCCGAGATCCTGGAGGCCGCGGCTGGGGCGCTGAAGCTGGTGGTGCCGCCTGCAGCACTGGCGGCGAGCTCCGCGCGCTCTTTCGCGTTCTGCTGTAAATACTGCAGCGTCTGGAAACACACGAGACGGTGCGTCGCACGGGCCAGCCCTGGCTCCTTCCTTCCCGACTCCACGTGGAGGGACGGCAGGACCCCCGTGAGGCCCGGAGCTGCAGTCCCGTCTCTCGGTGTCTGCTGCTGCGAGGTGCCACGGCTCCAACGCAGGAGACGAGGAGCACCCCAAGGCCGCCCGACAGCCACTCCCGAAACACCACTCCCAAGGGGACGGTCCTTTCACTACACTCTGCCAGTCTCCCGGGCCGTGGCAAGACCGCGTCCCTTTGTCCATCCCCAGCGCGGGCAGTCAAATGGGCCTAGCCACACCCTGCACCCCTGAACAGGCCCTGGGCCCGCAGAGGAGAGGGCCGATCCCGTCGGTGCAGCGGCTCTGCCGGCCTCGACACCAACTGCTTTTCTTAGCGCGTGAGCAGCACACGTCCGATGCACAACACACGAAAACACATCGGACACGATGAAAAATAAAGGCCCCCAGCCTGGGAAGTAAGGGCTGTACTACTTCTCAAGTTCATCCCAGCGCGAGTCACTGTCCCTTCTGAAGCTCCACAGACACGTTCCTACGTCACGTCGAAGGAGCTACATGGGGGCAGAAATGTGCCGTCAGAGGCGTTGTGTCAACGGAGCACATCTCGTGAGTGTCCATCGGAGCAATCCCACCCGACGAGCTCCGTCAGGAGCCCGCGTCCCAGTCGCCTTGCCCGACACTCCCCACGCGAGCCCACACAGCCAGTACCTCTCTGTCTTCTGTGAGTTTTGATAACAGGTACACCAGCGGGTCAAGGTTCCTCGTGTTTTTAGATTTCAGTTCATCATACTTTTTTAGAAAATCTTCCGGAGTACGAGAAAATTCTGCTATTTTAACCTCAAAAGCATAAACAGGAGAGATTCAGTGCCAATAGCAAACAACTTTTAAAAAGCTTCCAGAGGGGCACCTGGGGGGCTCAGTGGGTTGAGCCTCTGCCTTCGGCTCAGGTCGTGAAACCGGGGTCCTGGGATCGAGCCCCGCACTGGGCTCTCTGCTCTGTGGGGGGCCTGCTTCTCCCTCTCTCTCTGCCTGCCTCTCTGCCTACTTGTGGTCTCTGTCAAATTAAAAAAGAAAATCTTAAAAAAGAAATCTTCCAGAAAACTAACACAAACGCCGAAACAGTGCAACTAGGTAGGCTAAATGATCCCATACGTCTGAAGTAAGACTTACACCCAACACGCGCCGTTAGCCCTACACACTCCTCTGTAGCTCCTGCTTCCTCAGCCTGAGATCAGGAAACAGCCACGTGGATTTTTTTTACCATTTTACGCACTTGCTTTGTACGTTCATCACTCTTCGCTCCAGAGCTGGGCTCAGCTCTGGGTTATGTCCGCTCACTGATTTTCGGCGCTCCCTTTGTAATAAATCACATTCACTTCTGTGTTCCCAAACACTGCCTGCCCAGTAAGTTTTCCTAACTCTCCCGCTGCCATTGTAAACCTATTTAAATAACTGAAGTTCACAGTGTGTTTCTAAAAATAAATTTAAAAATTCTCTTTACTGAAAATCCGTAATTTTGAATTATACATTATTTGAATAAAGATAGAAAAATCTGCTTTAAAGGGATTTCAATACAGTTAATACTAGGAGCTTCCTCTTCTTTTCAAGTTTTTTATTTTTTTTTAAGTAATTTTACGCCCATCGTGGGACTCGAACTCATGACCCCGAGATCCAGCTGCTCCACAAACTGAGCCAGCCAGGCGCCACCAGGAGCTTCCTTTCCGTGCAGAGGAACAGGAGTCTCCTTCCTCACAGGACCCAGAACCTGGGTTCTGAGGTCAGGCTGACACCCCAGCACTCTCCCCGAGCCTCCATTTACTCATCTGTACAACAGGGTGGGTGACAAGAGCTTGTATAAGGAATCATCAGAAGCACAGAGTTGAGCAGAGGACGTGGTCCAAGAAAAGCCTCCACAAGTGCTGTCGGCCATCAACACTGGTGATGCTACGGCTGTTCCGTCAGGAAACTCGTGAACTCTGTGCACAGGCTACACCAGGATGGGGCCCAGCTTGCCCGGGGCCCAGCGCACCACCAGGGACGGAACCCACCTTGGCACTGTGTGCAGATACGGTGGTTGTGACATAGGGTGTCCTGTTCTTCTGCAGCAGGTCGATATAGACCTCAGCCCCATCCCCTCCATGGACACGCAGCAAGCTGAGCAGCTCATTGACGTCGTGGTGAATCCGAAATTCACTCATAGTTTTGGCTCAGAAACATCACAACAGGTTCTCCTAAAAGTGAGAGGAAAGCTGTTTATAAAAATAAAACTGTGCTAACAGGCCTGGTGAGGACGAGGAGGCCCCAGTTCAACATTGAGCATCGAGCACAGAAGACTGGGCACACACGCCACGTTTGCGAACTAAGTAGTGAGCACTGATTTGCAGCTCCACACCAGGAGACTGAAGCTCTAGTCCTGTGGCACAGACGCTGAGAACTGGCCAGAGCCAGGCCGTCTCCAAACGTAAGAGCAGAAGAGTTCAGCACAAACACGCACACGTACGAATCAGGTCATGGTAGCCACAGCCACCGATACGAGGCACAGCAGGGCATGGGTTGTGGAGTCCTAGCCGGTCTGAACCCTGCCTTGGCCAGTTCTGAGCGGTGGGGCCGCAGGCAAAGACCTTGGCCTCTCTGGGCTTCTGACAAGGGGTGACTATTACTCCTACCACAGAGCTGCTGTGCGCTGGGCTTCAACACAATCACCCTCATAGAGCACCAAAGAGCCCACACCCAGTAAGTTCCAGTGGCGTCGTCACCGGAGAAGCAGGAACAAACGTGCTTTTATTACTTAGGGCTGATCGCGTGGAAATGTCATTCCTGGAGAACGGGCTGGATTTACAAAAGGAACCCTGGATCCGAGTTTGGGAACCGACAGCATCCCAAACCACCGGGTACCAATCACAGAGGACCTCCAACAGGCAGTGCAACGTACGAGCAAGACAGCAAAGAGGACGTGGAACTTCCCCCCAAGGCCCCTCCGAATCTAAGGCCATCCGGTTCCATCCGAGCGCTACAAGGGGTCCTCAGCAATGGGGGTTGTCCCGCGCTGGCTGCACCGAAGACCCTTCGTCAGGCCAGACGGCAAGCACACCGCGCTTCCCACCAAAAACACCTGTCCACCAGGTACACGCAGGGGAGAGCCCTTCAGAAGTGGAACTATCTGCAGGAAACCTTGTGTTTGTGCTAAAAGTACAAGCACAGACACGCCCTCGTCACAAAGATCATAAAGAAACCAGGTCTCCGTGGGGATGTGGACGACTCCAGCACCGACGGTGGCTCTCGAGGGCGGGCAGGACCTCCCAGGAGGACGTCGGGAAGTGTGTAAGGGACGCTTCCGCTCGTCACAGCGACCAGAAGGGGGCTCTGGGTATTGGGTGGGCAGGAGGCCAGAGAGCTGGACCACCAAGAGAAGCATCCCACCGAAAACGTCAACAGCGCCCACTGAGAACGCTCAGGAGCATCTCGTCACCAGGCCCACTCCTGAGCTCCTCCGCTGGCAGCCAAACAGCCGTGGGGGAGGGGCGGAACCCCTCCCCACTGTGAGCCAGCGGTGGGCTGCAGGAGGGGCCGGGGGCTTCCCCAGGAGTGAGTGAGGCAGAGAGAAGTGGCAGCGGGTCTTTCCTGAGGGCTCAAAGCCAACTGCACAAAGGGGCCTGCAAAGCGTTGTGCCGTTCGTGAGAAAACGTCAAGACTCTCAACGCTTTTTCATGAGATGAGCTACGGTCCGTCCAGAGCTCTTCCGGGCCGCGAAGGGACCGACGGGGCGCACAGGCCCCAGCCTTTCCTTCCAGAACGAAGCGAGGTCACTGCACCCTCAGAATTACACCTCAGAGCTATGTGTTCATGTGTTGAAGACGCAGAACCCGTCTCCCGGCCCGCCGCGAGCACGTGTGCGCCCCACTCCACGCGGGACCATCTGGGTGGGCAGTGGGGTCGGCCTCAGAGCCGCCCGCCCGCCGCCCAGGGCCCCCAGCACTCTAAGCGGGGAACCGTCTCACAGCCGGCCGGGCGTCTCCCCAGCCAGGCAGAGGCTCCAAGGGGCCGCGCCCGCCTCTACGTGCCCCCGGCGGCACCGCGCACGGCGTACAGCCCCGCACGTCTCGGGCGCGGGCGGGACGCAGGACGCCAGAAAGGCAGGCAGACAGACCGGGCCTGGCCGGCCAAGCGAGGGCCACTGGGCCAAGGGGGCGGAGCGGCCTTCTTCCAACAAGAAACGCTACGAGGGAGCGCGGGCCGCCACGACCGCGCGGGCTCGGGTCCGGTGCGCGGCTCGGAGCAGAACGACCCAGGGGCCGCCCCAGCCTTGCCGGCGGGAGGCGGACACGTTGAGCGCAGGGAGGCTGGGAGGGGCAATGTGGGCGTCCCCGGGCGGCGGTCCGCGGGTGCGGGTCCGGGAAGGGAACCCCGAGGTCCCGCGTGCGGACGCTACGGTCGGCCGGACGGCGCGGCGGCCAGGGCGGCGCCAACGCGCGGGCATGCGGGCCTGACAGCGCGCGGTGAGGGGGCGAGCCGCAGGCAGCCGGCGCGGGGAGGCGCTGCGCATGCCGGGCGGGCGCGCAGGGAACGAGGGCCGCGCCCGCCCCGCCGGCCCCCAAGGTTCAGGCGCCGCCACCCCCGGCTGGACTCACCGCGGGTACAACGCGTCCCGGCCCAGCCCGCCGAAGCCCCGAGGCCCGCGCCGGCAGCGGAAATGGCCTCACGTCACTTCCGGCCCCGCCCCGCCCGGCTCGCGGACGGTGGCCGGCAGGCTGCGCGGCCGCCGGCGCGCAGAGCGATGCAGCTGCCACCCGCGCTGCACTCCCGTCTGTTGGGGGCACCCGGGGCGGCCGAGCCGCTGCCTGTGGAGCGGGACCCCGCGGCCGGGACCCCGCCCTTCCACTTCGCGGCGCGGCGGGTGCACTTCCCGCGGGACCACGAGTTCTTCGAGGTGTGTGAGCGAAGGAGAGAGAAGGCAGTTGTCGGCGGGGACGGGGCCTGCGGGAGGGGCGGGGCCTGCGGGAGGGGCGGAGCTGGAGGGGCGGGACCAACGGGCGGGGCGGGGCTGGAGGGGCGGGACCGATGGGGAGCCGGTATCGCCGCGCCCGGCCCCGGCCACCACACGTGTGTCCAGCAGGACGGGGATGTGCAGCGACACCTCTACCTCCAGGACGTGCTCACGCAGGTGACAGGGTCGCCCGAGAGGCCCAGGTGAGCGGCTCTGGGCCCAGTACCGCCCCCCGCCCCAGGCCCCGCCCGGCCCTCCCGAGTGCCCTGCTACCCCGCCCTCTGCCCGACCGCGGTCCCCGGCCCTGTGGTCGGGCCTGGCCGCCTCCTAGCTGGTCTGCGAATACTAGAGTTTGGGATCGGGAAGGAAACCTCAAAGTTTTGTCAGGCTCCGTGGAGGGCGGGTGTGGCCCGGCAGCCGGAGGCCCTGTGCCAGGAGCAGAGGGGCCTTCCCAACGGGGGCTTCCTTCGCCAGGGTGCCCGAGTTCACCTGCCAGGTGGCGGGGTGCTGCCAGGTGTTCGACTCGCTGGAGAACTACGAGCACCACTACCACACCCTGCACAGAAACGTCTGCTCCTTCTGCGGACGGGCCTTCCCGTCCGTCCACCTGCTGGACGTCCACATTCTGGAGTGGCACGACTCGCTGTTCCAGATCCTGTCGGAAAGGCAGGACATGGTGGGTGACGCGCCCGCGTCCCCTGGCCCGAGTGCCGGCATCTGGGGCAGGGGGGGCTGTTGCCGGGCGGTCTGCCTCAGTACCAGTGCCCTGGGGGGTCAGGGGCGAGGCGAGGGGGCCCCGTGGGGACGGAGGTCAGGGCGGGGGTGACAGCCTCTGTGTTTCAGTACCAGTGCCTGGTGGAGGGCTGTGCGGAGAGGTTCAGGAGCGGCAGAGACAGAAAGGAGCACCTGGTGCGGCGGCACCTGTACCCGGCGGACTTCCGGTTTGATAAACCGAAGAGGAGCGGAGGGTGCGGTGGGCCCTGGAGTTGGACAAGCCTTGCGGGCGTGGAGACGCGGCGGGTGCGGGCGCTGGTGCGGGTGTGGGCGCGGCGCACCGGCCAAGCCTCGGCCTCGCGTCCGATGCAGCAGCGGATGCGGAGACGCTGACGTGGGGCTGTGGGTCTGGAGGGCTTAAGCCCACCGGGGAAGGTTTTGCTGCCCTGCTGGGAGGGACTGGGGTCTCCGCGGTGTCTGCTCCTGGCCCGTTCTCTGTGCTCCCGCTACAGCTGTACCTGCCCCTCCTCCCCTCCCGGGCACCAGCCCCAACGCTGGTGCTGACGGCCCCTGGGAGTCTGTCCCAGGCTGCGAGGCCCCCCTCACGCCCACCCTGACTTTCTTTGTCTGGTGGGTGACTTGACCGCAAAGCTCTTTGGCCCTTGTGCCGCCGGGCACACCCGGGAAACGGATTCGTGTTGCTCCGCTGCCTCTTTCTAGTGATGCTCTGAGTGGTGCTTCAGAGCCGACCGGACTGGGCAGCTTGAGGTTTCCTCAGAGCAGTTTCTCTCGGCAGGACTTTGCTCTTTAAAGTAATGGGATTCTGAGAGGGCAGGGCAACACGGAGCAGGCTTCGGAGGTGCGGTAGCTCCTTTTTTGGAGGGATCGTGTCAAGGAGAAAAGCCCCGCAGTGCTGCGTCCAGTAGGGTCAGGGAGGTGACGCTCTGTGCCCTGGAGTTAAGGTCAGTAGATTTCTCATGCGAGGGCGTGAGAGGACCTTCACTTGGAGGGCAGGCACCACGGGGCACCCCAGAGCTTCTGTTTGCAGAAGTGCAATTGCCCCCGAGCTTATAAACGTGGGAGCAGTTATATACGCGTTCGCTTCCGGCTCTGTCGCCGTCCTCGTCTGTCTCAGTGGTCGGAGACTCACGCCACACCAGGATAGCTAGAAACTATTTCTGCGAGAAAAAGGAGCACTTTGGTGGGGAGGGGGCCCGTGAGGGAAGACAAGGCCACAGGGGCGCCCCTCGTGTCACTGTCTCCACAGCCCAGCCACGCCCGGGGCCGCCATCCAGGAGTCGGCAGAAGCTCTGGGGGAGGGCGAGGAGCAGTCAGGAGGGGACGCCATGGATGTCTGCCCTGAGCACGCAGCCCCCCGCCCAGAACCTGTGGGCGAGCGGCGGACGTACGGCCACAGGTTAGTACCGGGCGTCTTTCCGCAGCAAGTTCCGCATGTGTGTTTTATGACGATGGTGCTGGGCTTGACCTTGGGCAGTGTTCGCACTGAGAAGCGGACGCTGGGTCGGCGCGCTGCCTTCCGCAGCAGCTGCGAGCCTGACGATGTGTTTCCTTGAACGTCTCGGTTTCTTGTGCTCGCTCCGGGTCAGGACCGGGAAGGCAGGGTGCCGCCTCCGCTTCGAACTGTGGCCTGACCTGGGACAGAACCAACACCGGCCGTAGTTGCTTAAGTTACGATCTACACGTTTGTCTTTCTCATAGTAATTATGCGCTTTTTGGCTTAAACTTGATTCCAAGTCTCATTTTGGGGAAAACGTTAGAAGGGAAGAGATAGACAACAAACGCAAACGGGCAGGAAGACGGGCTCGTGTCCCTCCGCCGCCCTCCCACAGCCACCCAGACTTCGGCCTGCAGGTGGGTCCTGGAGGCCCCGTGGCGGTCAGGATTTCTTCCAGATGGTGGGTCTCGAGAAGCCTGGGCCTGAAAACTTGGCAGCAGGGGCCCTCTTGGCCAAGTGTCCCAGGCAAGCATCCTGCTGGCTGGGAGGGTCTCCCTCAGGAAGCAGGTCCTGCGGCTGCAGCTGGCTGGAGCTGCCCCGGGGCCCAGGGTACAGGTCATCTAGGGAAAGGAGAGCCCACGTGCTGAGTGTCCCACAAGGGAAAGAGGAGGAGCCACAAGAACAAGAAGAGCTTGTCCTCACGATGCTGCTTTTACGAGTGGGGTGTTTTGTTAGCAAAAACCGTGATGTTTAGTACGAAGACTTCTTTTCCTTTTCAGAATACCTTCTACCATCTGTTTTGGTCAAGGTGCGTCACGAGGATTTAAAAACACCAAGAAAAGAAAGGAACACCAGTGACAACATGGACAGAGAGCCATGGGCCTCCCAGCAGACCCCGGGGGGCCGGTTGCCTTTGGCAGGATGCGGTGTCCGTGGTGCGGTTTCTCTCGACAGAGAGCCACGGGCCTCCCAGCAGACCCCGGGGGGCCGGTTGCCTTTGGCAGGATGCGGTGTCCGTGGTGCGGTTTCTCTCGCCTTCTGGTGCGGCCACCCTAGGACCTGGACCTTTGCCACCCTCGATGCCAGTCCCTTGATGGACCAGTGTGTGACCGCAAAAGCAGTGACAGGCCCACCGTTTCCAGAAGTGGCCCCAACACGTGGTCTGGGGAATGAAATGGGGGCCACCGTCCTGCCTCCCTCCGCAGGGCCGGGACGCTGTGCTCTGTAAACTCGTAAACCCTTGCCTCTGGCAGTCTCTGGTCGTCACCTGTGCATTGTTGGGCTGGGTAGAGGAGTGAGCAGCAGCTGCCCGCGGCTGATCTGTTCTCCATGCTCCCTTTCAGGAAGATTTACGAAGTGGCAGACCCCCGGGTGTGAGGGCAGCACGCGGCACTGAGTTGCTGATGGTCGTGGCTTGGCGAGAGGCTCCTGGGTCACCCATCCACCACATCAGTGATCGGACCCGATGGGTCTGGTGAGAACCAGAGATGGCTCGTGTGCCTCAGCGGGGGCGCGTGTTGCTGCAGAGAACAGTGCGGCCGGGGTGGTTTCTCCAAGGAAAGACTGTGATGACGCAGAGGAGGGAGTGTCGTGGCGAGGGAGGGGGCTTTGGCCAGAGCTCCAGTGCCTGGCTAGTTGTGCCCAGCAGCAACGGGGCAGAGTTGTCACGCGCTCTCACAGTGAGCCAAGGTCGCCACCGGAAAGCGGTGCCAGGAGCACCACACAGAAGCAGCGGTGTCCGTTGGGGCTCTCAGCGCCCGGCCGAGCGGGGGCCCGACAGCGGGGTCTCTCCACGGCCCGTCCCCATCGTGCCTGCGTCTGGGGCACGTCTGGGCTGGCGGCTGCCTGAGGGCTCCAGGTCAGCCAGCAGCAGGAGGGTGGGGCTCCTCCAGCCTGTCCTTTCCAGGCTCTGGGCTCGGCCAGAGGCACCTGGAGGCCATCTGTGGCTCTCCTGGCCTGGAGGCTGCGCCCCAGCTCCTGCTGAGCCACACCTGTCGCTCTCTGGAGTCTGGAGCAAAGGGACTGTCAGGGCTGGCATGTCACACCAGAAGTTTCACGCAGTAAAAGCTTTAAAGGTAGGTTACCAGGTGCTTATGGGAAAAGTCCAAAACCTAAAGCACAGTCCTAGAACATCAGCAAGAGACCGAGTGTGCACTTCGTGGGATGGGGGGTGATGGGGTCCAGCCGTGGCTAGGGGCGATGTGGCAGGGCTGCCCCAGAGTCCCTTCTTTGGCTCTTAAAAAGCACAACATGGAGAAAAACGCGAACACACAAAACTCCCACATTCTGTCTCTATCCACCTCCCCTCTGAGACCTTTCCTTCCCCAGCTCCTGCACGGCCGCATGCGTGGCTCCGTCGTCTCTGGCCTTTTCCACTGTGGCTCGTTCTGGTGAACGTCGTCGTCCACAGCGTCGGCCCCTGTGAGACTGTTGTGTAGTCTTTGGGACCTGACCGTCCTGGGTTCCAGTCCTCGCTACAGTCCCACCCAGAAAGTTGCTCCTTCAGTCTGTCCTGGTTTTTCTTCTGAGAAATGGGGGAATGTCAGACTTCAGTGTGGAGTGTTTCTGCTGCCAAACCTGGGTGTGGTTTCCAGGTCCAGTGTCAAGGGAAAACTCCATCGGACCCGTCGGATGACGAGCTCGTTTGCAGGGTGCGTGGCAGCCAGACGTCAGGACAGGCTGTCAGCAAGTGTTTGGGGATGCTGAGCCTGCATTAGTCTGTTTTGGTGGGAAACGGGATTATTATGCTTAGTTTACATGAAACAGTCAACACTTGGTTATTTGGGAGACTGGAGCCCATTGGGGTGACCCCATCAGTGTGTGCAGTGCTCAGGCCCATAGGGAGCAGAGCAGAGCACTGGGCCTTGCTCTTGTCCTGGGGTACCATGTCCTCAGCTTTTGCCAAGTTCCTCGAAATCATACTAAGAACCTCATGAGTCAGCTCAGTGCCCCTTGGCTCACCTTTTCTTTCTTTTCTCTTTTTGTGTCTTATTTTGGACGGAGTGGGTTTCTCTTCTCATTCTGACGTTTGGGAAGTTAGACACTCGTTTTATCTCAGAAATTTTAATACGTGAGTACTTGGGATCTAAGGTTAATCAGTGTTGTTTCCCTTCCCCCAAACAGTACAAGGAGTGCGGAGTTCACCTCCACCGTCTGGTGTGGCGTACGTGAGGAAAGGCGCACACTGGCGTCTGGGTCCTCTCTGTCCCCCAGGAGTGTCCTGCCGTGGCCCCGTCATTCGCACCTGCCTCTGCTGGGTGTTTCCTCTTGCCTCAGACCCCTGTTTGGTTGTCCTTTGCCTAATGAATCTCTTTAGAATTTCCCTTAGTGAAGGTCAGCAGTCATAAGTTCTCAATTCTCTTTGCTGGGGTCAGTTGTGTTCTTGTTCTCGAAGGATGGTTTGGTCAGGAATACAGCGCTCGGTTGGCCGGTTTTGCCCTCAGCAAGTGGGGTGTGGGTCGCGCTGGTCTCGTGGCTGCTGTCGAGGGTTCCGCGGCCAGTCTTGTCCCCGTTCCTCAGAAGGGTTCCGTCTGGTCTCCGTCTTCGCTGTTCCGCGGCTCCCTGGACGGTGAGGGGCCTGCATCCGTGTGCTGCTGGCTCTTCCCTCCGATGCGCGAGCCTGGGGTCTTATCGCCTCGCACGCTGCCTCTCCCGCATTCTCTGTTCCTTCTCCTCCAGCTCCAGCCACGCATGCGGCAGACCTCCCCCTCCGTCATCAGTGCTTGTCACCAGCCCTTCCGTATTTTCCATTCCCATGTGGTCTTTGCTTCATTCTGGACGATTTCTTCAGACCTACTTTCCAGTTCACAAATTTTCTTACCAGTTATATCAGCTTTGCGGTTAAACTATTTCAGATTTTATTTTCAACAATTATCATCTTCGATTTTGTTAGTTCTTTGTTGTTTTTCTAATTTCTTGTATTTTCATAGCTTTTTGTCCATCACATTTTCTTTCTTTCTTTTTTTTTTTTTTAAAGATTTTATTTATTTATTTGACAGAGACACAGCAAGAGAGGGAACACAAGCAGGGAGAGAGGGAGAGGGAGAAGCAGGCTCCCCACTGAGCAGGGAGCCTGATGTGGGGCTCAATCCCAGGACCCTGGGATCATGATCTGGGCCGAAGGCAGACACTTAACCAACTGAGCCCCCAGTCACCCCTGTCCATCACATTTTCAATTCGTTCTCTTATTTCTTAAACATATTAAACTAATTTTACATTATTGATTGGCAGCATCAATAGTATCTGTAACTATAGTGAAGATTCTGTGGGTGTGATTCTTTTGCCCATTTCTTCTGCTGACTCACTCATACTGCCTTGTTTCCTGGTGAATTTTGTGACTTTTGACTGTGAGTTTATATTTTTTGGAACTTTTCTTCTGGAATTTCTCTGACCTGTCTGAATTCTTCTAGCAAAAATTAGTATCTGCTTCTGTTTTGTGACCAGGGGTGCTCCCAATCTTGGGTCACTTTAAGAAGAATCATTGCAGGGCGCCTGCGTGGCTCAGTGGTTTAAGCCCCTGCCTTTGGCTCAGGTCATGGTCTCAGGGTCCTGGGATCGAGCCCCGCATCGGGCTCTCTGCTCAGCGGGGAGCCTGCTTCCTCCTCTCTCTCTGCCTGCCTCTCTGCCTACTTGTGATCTCTGTCTGTCATGTAAATAAATAAATAAAATCTTAAAAAAAAAAAAGAGGAATCATTGGGTAGGGGTTCTCAGTCCAACCGATTTTTCCTACAAATGTTCTTTCTGTGTTGCCTTTACATGACCCTCAGCCAAAGCAGAACATGACAGTGAGAGGAACAGACCCCTCATTTCACTCACAGCAAGAGAATTAGAAATAAAAATAATCCGAGGCCTTTTCTTAAACATTCAATTGTCAGAAACCCCAAAGTTTGGTCACACTCTGTTGTCAGGGCTGTGTGGAAACAGATACTGCGTCCACTGTCAGGGCTGCCGAGTGTTGGAGCCCCAAGAAGAGGGTTTGGCGATATCTAACACAATCGCCTTTGTGTTCACCCTTTGACCCAGCAAATATGTTTCTAAAGACAGATCCTAAACACACATTGGCAAGAATCCAAAAGCTCTACTTAAAAGGCATTTTTAAAAGATTTTATTTATTTATTTGAGAGGCAGAGATCACAAGTAGGCAGAGAGGCAGGCAGAGGGAGAGAGAAGGGAAAGCGGGCTCCCCGCTGAGCAGAGAGCCTGATGTGGGGCTCCATCCCAGGACCCTGGGATCATGACCTGAGCTGAAGGCAGAGGCTTTAACCCACTGAGCCACCCAGGCGCCCCTATTCAGTAAAATTTTTCATGACTAAAGACTGAAACCAGCTCAAGTGTCCCAAATAGCATTGAGAACTGAGTTTTTTTTTGGCATGGTAAAATGAAGATACAGATTTAAGATCAACGAGCTTAATAGACACCTTGTAGTCCTAAATTTGAATTAGAAGCATTGCTATATGTTCATTACATATACTTAACATGTTCCAATATGGGTATATTGTTAAATCAGTGTTTTTACTCAAAAGACTGGATTCATTTTTAGAAGTCAAGGAAGTTATTAAAGGATGCTAAGGTCAGACTCAGGAGCCAGCTCAGCTAGGGGCCCCCTGTCCAGAGACACGGCGGCTTGCTCATCCGTGAGAATCACAACTGCAGCTGAATGAAACAGATCAAATATATTTAAGCCTTTGAGCTCATAGTGGTTCTTTTTTTTTTTTTTTAAGATTTATTTATTTTGGGGAGGGAGGGGCAGAAGCGGAGGGAGAGAGAGTCTTAAATAGATTCCGTGCTGAGTGCAGAACCCAAATGGGGCTCAGTCCTATGACCCTGAGATCACGACCCGAGCCGAAATCAAGAGTCAGATGCTTAGCTGACTGTGCCACCCAGGTACCCCTCAGAGTG